TTCACGAGAACACCAACACTTGTCAAACATGATTAACTGTGTTTTTATCTTACACAAATGTAATTCCTCTCTGCGTGTCTGCCTGGAAATCAGACAATCAGCTGTGATCCAGCGGGAAACTTGGGACAGGGATTTTTTTCTTGAGGCGCAAGCTGCAACAAGACAAAGTTGCTTTACCCAAAACTGCTTTAGTTTTCTTATGTCAGTTTTAAAAAATGCGTTAACAGTAAATAGTCTGATCAGCCTTCAAAAACAGTGTTGTGCTAAAAGTTTACATAAGCCCTCGTTTGTTTTTACTTTGCTTCCAAAGAGCAAGGCTTACTTGTTATCTTTTAAACTAGTAGTGATCAATAGTTCCTCTGTGTCAGTGTGTTGTTTTTTGTATTTCTTGGAGATTCAGCAGTTGAAATGGGGACAAATTTGTGTCAGATTATTGGTAAGAGAGAACTTATAGATCCAAATTGACATGTGTAACATATGTAGCACTTGTTCATCCTGAGTTGAGGAACCTTTATACTGTATACACCCGAAAAAAGTGTACTGGACTGAAAATCAGTAGGGGAAAAGCAGGAAAAAAATTGAAAGACTGCCATAAAATCTAAAGAAACATTGCTTAAGATTACTTTAAAAGACTACAAGGACTGAAGATTAGAAGTTTTGTGAATTTAAACCATTGTTGGTGCAAGCACATTAAACAGATTGTTGGAGTCACAAGAGTCCAAAATCACTCACCTGTCATGTTTGTGGACCCAGACAACTCAAGAAAATATATTTTTAGGACAGTAACGTGCACATTATCGTACAAAGAGAACCAAGGGTTTAAAAGAGAAAAGTGAAACAACCATCTATAGTCGTGGTGTCCTGATACCTATACTGGTGTCACTATCGGACCTGATATCAGCATTTTTACAAGTATTTATTCAAAGTACCCTGAGATCAGGACCAATACCACTATCGATACTGGATTCAATACTCAATTGAATGAGTTACTGTTTACATTTCAAGTGAAAAGTTTGTCAGTTCCAAGTTTATAAAAGTATCCAAGTCAAAAGAAAATCTTAAAATTTTGCACCAGTATATAACATGCTGTATATTTGATTTGATCCAATCAGAGGGTCTATATGCCCATTAGGAGGCATTGTGTAATTTTTTAGTTCTAACTTAGGAAGTACTTGGTATCAGTGAGTACCCAATCTAAAGTACTCATACTTGTAATTGGTTTGAAATAAAGTGGTATTGGGACACCCTTAATTTATACTAAATTAATTTAAAAAATGGGGAAAGAGGGGCTACCTGTCCAGTATCTACTTGTGAAGCTTCTTCTCTCCGGTGTGGTTCACAACCATTCACACTTTAAAACATGTGACCAAAACTCTTCACATGTTGGAAAAAAAAATTCACCGAGGGCAACGGCCAAAATGAGTGTTTCGTTTGACTCGAATGACAATTTTAGTGTGATTGTCCCATTGATGACCTTTGAACCGGAAACTACCGATCTATTATTAGAATCAAAGAAGCCTTTTGAATGAGAGTGACAACTGCAAATCCTGGTCAAGTTGCCTTCTGTTCAACTCCTTGGGATTACGCAGCCAATGAAATTAAAACTAGAGCTACACTTTAAACACTTAAGATGGTTCCGTTCACTCGGTCTCTAGGGAGGCCTCTGATCAGCAGCTCAGACAGGGTCCCACAGAACAATCTTCTGAAGCAGGAGGCACAAGAGGTCCTGCAACAGATGGCATTTTCTCTTCATCCTTCCCAACCCCTCCCCCATCTAGAGCTCTCATAACAACAACATGGTCCGTCTGGGATTACATGGAGATGTGGGAGTTGTTGAGACAGCCTAAATCCACAGAGAAACTGTGGCATGTTCTTCATGATGATTGGAGGAACCTGAGCTCACACTGAGCACTTACAACAACCGTGTTCGTCTGTACACCCAAAGAGATGCTACTGTGTTGGAAATCCTTAATGTCTTTTTACTTTATTTTAAATAATTTAGCCACATTTTTTTTATATTAGTCATCATCAGATTCAAAAATGAAATAGGAACCTTACACTTGTAAAAAGTAAATATATTTTATTTTTTGGATTTAGTATCTTTTTAGGAACATTTTGCACTGCTTTTATGGCAACTAAATGTAACCCTTGGCCATTTCAGCCTGGAGCAGTTTCTACTTATTACTGAACAGTTTCAGCTCTTAAAATTAAAGTCAGGTTTTTGGATGGAAAATTTTTGCCATTCTATGGATGACCAGCTGCAGGGCTGTTGCCTTGATGCTGCTTTAATTGAAAACAGTGGTTTCCCCCCTTACAGCCTTTTCAGGTTCAGTGTTCTCCTGATGGTGGACATGAAAATTAACATCTGTTTTGCAGAGAGAAAAAAAAACTGATAGAGTCCCTGGTTTTCATTCTCATCTAATAGACTGTTACACAGTTTGCACATGGAGTGAAGTTTGCTGGTCAGCAGATTCATGGATCAGACAACATTGGTCACAACTGCCCTGGTCTGATTGACTAATAAGATTTTGTTAATTGTTCAGCCTGGTGAGCATCAATACGTCATCTAAAAGCAATGCTGGGGAAATAAAGATATGACTCTTGTGTGTGTCTGTATCTGTTACCAAATTATTTCATGAATCACTGGACAATTTTTAATGAAACTCCCAGATTCTGTATTTGGAGGTATTCCAATGTAACTCTTGAGAACAATTTTCTATTTCATGATAAAACCCAAAGACTCATAACACCAGTGTCACAGTGGGTTCTTATGTGTTAAGAAAGCAAAATCAAAACACAAAAATGACAATGACATAAAGGCATTGTGTTGAAACAGAGTGGGTCTGAGAATGACATCTCACAATATGCACATATGTTGTTTTTCATCGGTTGACCAAAAAAGCTATAACATCATTTCTCAAACTCTGGGATGAAAGGCAGCTGGTGATGTGAACTTTTTTTCAAGTGTTGACTTTAATCCCAAGTGTCTTCAAGCATTTAATTGTTTTAAAGCACATTTACAAACATGAGTTATGCACATTACGGTTTGCTGAATCTGTTATTTCATTTAAAAAACAACAACAGGATATTCTCAATCCATCTGAGTGTCACCCCAATGAATGAAACCAGAGAGTTTTAAAGGGGCAATATCATGTAAAATCAACTTTTTTGAGTTTTATATCCTGTTATAATGTTATACTCTCATAAAAAAACATGCCCAAAGCCTTGCTTTGACTCATTCATGCATGTTTGAGAAATCCTGCAGCGTTTTTAGGCAGCCATGCTGAGGAGCAAAACGAAAGGTGGGGACCAGAAACGCCTTTCGGGACCTGAAACGTCCCTGGGACGTATCTCCAAGCCCAGCTTCCTCATCACGGATGACTCCTGCAGGCTCTCGGCAGTAACAAAGCAAACAAGTGAAACTGAAACTGTCTGCTGAGCTCCTAACTACTTCTCACTCAGTGAAGCTC